GTGGTGCAGTCTCAGCTCACTGCATCTTCTGTTACCCAGGCTCAAGCAATTCTCCTGCCTCAGCCTCTTGAGTAGCTGGGATTACAGGCGACCGCCACCAGGCCCAGCTAATTTTTGTATTTTTAGTAGAGACGGGGTTTCGCCATATTGTCCAGGCTGCTCTCAAACTCCTGACTTCAAGTGATCCATCCACCTGCCTCCGCCTCCCACAGTGCTGGGATTACAGGTGTGGGCCACCACACCTGGCCTCTGGTTTTTTTTTAGACAGGGTCTTGCTCTGTCACTTGGGCTAGAGGATAGTGACACAATATCAGCTCAGTGCAACCTCTACCTCCTGGACTCAAGCAATCCTCCCACCTCAGCCTCCCAAGGAGATGGAACTAGAGGCAAGCCCACCACGCCCAGCTAATTTTTGTATTTTTTGCACAGACAGGGTTTCGCCGTGTTGCCTAGGCTGGTCTCGAACTCCTGGGCTCAAGCGATCTGCTCACCTCAGCCTCCCAAAGTGCTGGGATTACAGGTGTGAGCCACCATGCCTGGCCAGCAAGTTCTTTGGTCATGGCAAAATGAAACCAAGTTGAAAACTGAAAAACAACGCAGGGGAAAATGTGGTCCTTGCCGGTGATTTGTTCATTGTCATTAGCAACCCACTTTTGGTCCAGATTGATACGGAACAGTACAAGTGTCTGGTTGTTATTGAACGGGGTGCTTTGTGTGTTGGAAAATGTGAGTCAGACCCAGAGGGGAAATTCAGCCCCACTGAGAAGTCAAGCATGGCGTCAAGCCAATGAGAAAAGGTCAGTAAATTTCTAGAGTTTTCTTTCACTGTACTCTCTTCAGGAAACTGGAATGGGAAATTAAAATTCTGGTCTAGGCATAATCGTCACTGATATTTAAGAGGCAGAAAGAAAATTTCCCAACTCTTTGAAAGAACTTGCAAACGCAGCCTGATCTCTTTATGTCAAAATGGTCCAGGTGACAGTGTGAGAAGGTGACACTCTGTTTACTAAGAGGGCAGGGGGCCAGGTGTATTTTAGGATCCTCATCTATGTGATCTCAGACAAGTCACTGAGCTTTGTTGAGCCTCAACTGCATTGGACGGTTTTAGGTCTTAAATCATTTTTTTTTTTTTTTTTTTTTTGAGATGGAGTCTCGCTATGTCACCAGGCTGGAGTGTGGCGGCACAATCTCGGCTCACTGGAACCTCCGCTTCCTGCCTTTAAGCAATCCTCCTGCCTCAGACTGCCAAGCAGCTGGGACTATAGGCGCATGCCACTGCATCCGGCTTAATTTTAGTAGGGACAGGATTTCGCCATTTTGGCCAGGCCAGTCTTGAACTCCTGACCTCAGGTGATCCACCCGCCTTGGCCTCCTAAAGTGCTGGGATTACAGCCATGACCCACCTTGCCCGCGTAGGTCTTAAATCTAAGATACAAAATAATCTGATACTACTGTTCCATGTTCCTATTGTGTAAACCATGATCCCCCCTACCAGCAAGCCACGGAATTACCTTTAATGACAGATTACAAACAAAATAATACTACAATAACGACTTGTCATCATGTACCTTCTTTGTGCCAGGCTTTCCTCTCATAGCCACGTGGCAAGGTAGGTATTGTGACCTTTTTACAAGCGAGAAGATTGAAGGTAAGGGGCTAATCCACCTGGGCTGTGATTTATTTATTATTAGTTTTTGGACACAGGGTCTCACTCCTGTCGCCCTAGGCTGGAATGCAGTGGCACAATCTTAGCTCACTGCAGCCTCAACTTCCTGGCCTCAGGTGATCCTTCCTCCTTAGCCTCCTGAGTAGCTGGGACTACAAGCACACACCATTATGCCCAGCGAATTTTTGTTTTGAGACAGAGTCTTGGTCTGTTGCCAGGCTGGAGTGCAATGGTGCGATCTTGGCTCACTGCAACCTCTACCTCACAGGTTCAAGCGATTCCCCTGCCTCAGCCTCCCGAGCAGCTGGGATTACAAG